AGAAATCGAACGCGCGAGACTCGAGGCTTACCGTGAAAATCATAGTTGTTATTTTCCAATGCATCATTACAGTAATGTAGGCGAGCATCACCATTACCATGGCTGTACAATCTCTTAAAGTTTCTAGAGAGAAAAAAATAAAGGATATGGTAGTTTTTCGATTTGCTAGAGTTGGAGTTTGACCTTTAACTACTATTTCAATTAACGAGTAAGGATGTTTTAGATTTGATCATGAATGTTTTATTTCACTAATAATTTAGCTTTGTTCGTTTGATTTACCCGAATTTACTTTCTTGTTGTGCCAAATCATTATCTTATCAAATAGATACTTATATGAATTTGTGAGCAATGAGCATTGTAACCTAGAGTGAAAATTTGGCATGATGAACTCAAAGAGAAAGACAGTTATGTTCATAATTTACCTTCTAATGTTACATGAAGGAATACGATAAAATCGACTCACTTCTTCATAAGGAGAACAACAGTGTGAGCTGCAATGCTTCTGTTTTCTCCGAGGCTATCAACTTTCTCGTGTGTTTTAGCTTTTAAGTTGACAACAGAAGGATCTGCACCAAGAAGCTTGGACAGATTGGATCTGATCGTCTCTTTGTGAGGACTTATCTTTGGTCTCTGTAGAATCAATGTGGCGTCAAGGTTTCCTATCTCGTACCCTGCCTCGTCCATGAGTTTCACCTGAAAACACAAAGACAAACAAACAAAACTCGTTTCAAATTCATTGAATCACTCTTCATTCATACCAACAAGAATCTGACATTTGTTCTGTTATGACTTAAAAGTATATAACCTCATTACAAGTGATCATCGCCCAATGACTAATGATCATCATTCAAAGTTTTATAGCTTGATTCACCAATTAGCTTCCATGCAATCAACATTCACAGTCAACTACGGTTTTGGACCTAACAAAGATATTAAACTAAACCTGACCCATAATTTAAAAGACCGGACCAGAAAGAAACACGAAAATTTTAAACTCGAGTACCGTACTCGCCATACGTAACATCAATCATATATGTTGCCTCCAAGGAAAAAAGAAACATTACGAGACTTGTTCTATAGTTCATCAACCGAAGATCAAGCAAGAAAAAAAACTCATAGCTTGAGTGATCACAACAGTTAAGATGGCACTGGAAAAGAAATTTAAAACCAATTTGATCTACTCAAGAGTATTACTAAGGCTTTGATACTAACCATGAACCTATGGATCTAGCTTGAAAAATCTGAACCACTCTATAAAGACAGAGCCATACAGAAATGTACACGAATTGAACATCAAGACAAGCAAAGAAAGCTTACAGCTTCTTTGATGAAGACAGAAGAAGCAGCTCCTTTCCATTTAGGATCAGAATCTGGGAAAATCTGACCAATATCAGGAAGCCCTAACGCTCCCAGAATTGCATCCACTACACAATGGAGCAACACATCGCCTGCACACATCACCAACAAGTTCCAAAACTCCATTTCAACACTAATCCCAATTCCAAACGGAATCGAAAAGACGAGTTCACACTAATTCGACATTTTACCATCGGAGTGAGCTTCGCAGCCTCTATCGTGAGGGATATCGATCCCGCCGATGATCAGAGGGTACCCTGGCTCTAACCGATGCAGATCGAAACCGTGACCGACTCGAAACGGAAGAGTTTTGGTTGAAGTCACCGGTTCAACGGCGGAAGAAGCAGACGAAGCCGAGACTGAAAGACGACGGAGTAACGATAGAGAGTTCGGTCTCCGTGCACTGAAACCATGACGGTCGATCTTCGCCGCCGAGAGAAGGAATGGTTTTTTGGTAATTTGAGAGTGAAACAAAGGAGAAGAAGATAGCTGAGTACAAGTAGCCATAGCCATTTCTTCTCTGATTTCTCTCGCTCACCTATATTTTTACTTTTATTTTTTAAATAATAAATAGGTGGTGGTCTTTTTTTTTTGGTCAACAAATTTTCCTTACTCATTTTTATTTTATTTTTGTAAAATGCTAACTTATAAATTAGAAATTTTCTTTTGTTGTTAATTATTTTTT